TCCCTGGCGCAGGCCTTGGCCCCTAAAATCCCCCTGCAGGGAATGCAACAGGCCCCCTTGCTGCGGAGCTCTCTTCTGGGAGCGCTGCCTGCTTCGAAGGGTGCCTCGAGCGAGCCAGAATACCACCCAATGCACGCGCCACTGGCCGGCAGAAATATCCCGCAATCCGTGCTTTGAAAGCAGTGGTTCCCTCTACCCTTCAAACGAATGGCTCCTTCCTGCCGGACTGCTGCAGACCACAGCCGTGAACGTCGGAAGTCATACAGCCGCCCGGTTCAGGGTCAGATCAAAAACCCGGAATGGTCTACTCTGACTCGCAGCTCTCAGAACGGGGTCTTCCAAGGACCCTCTGCGTGGGGCCCTTGAACGCATGAAGCAGCCGTCAACTGAATCGGACCCTTGGTCCATCAAGGTCAGTATCCTTGTCTCCTCAAACTGACAGTCGCTTTCCAGGGTTTCTGGAAGAGGCATTCCACATCACCTAATGCCTGGTCCTTTGAACTGGAGGTGCCGGGGATTGGACCTGGGAACTTCTGCATGCCAAGCAGAGGCTCTACCACTGAGCCACTGAGATCTTTCACATCACCTCCCGCCTGGTCCTTTTAACTGGAGATGCCGGGGACTGAACCTGTGACCTTCTGCATGCCATGCAGTGGCTCTGCCACTAAGCCACAGAGGTTTTTCACATCACGTAATGCCTGGTCCTTTTAACTGGAGATGCTGGGGACTGAACCTCGGACCTTCTGCATGCCAAGCAGATGCTCTGCCACTGAGATCTTTCACATCACTTCCTGCCTGGTCCTTTTAACTGGAGATGCCGGGGACTGAACCTGGGACCTTCTGCGTGCCAAGCAGAGGCTCTTCCACTGAGCCACAAGGCCCTATCCATAGCTCTCTCGGGCCTCAGGCAGAAAAAGGTCTTTCACATCACCTGCTGCCTGTTCCATTTAACTTGGAGATGTCGGAGATTGAACCTGGGATGTTCTAAATGCCAAGCAGAGGCTCTTCCACTGAGCCACAGCCCCTCTCCACAACTCTCCAGGTTCCCAAGTAGAGGTCTTTCCCATCATCTCCTGCCTGGTCCTTTTTAACTGGAGATGGCGGGGACTGAATCTGGGACCTTCTGCATGCCAAGCAGAGGCTCTGCCACTGAGCCACAGCCCCTCTCCACAACTCTCCAGGTTCCCAAGTAGAGGTCTTTCCCATCATCTCCTGCCTGGTCCTTTTTAACTGGAGATGGCGGGGACTGAACCTGGGACCTTCTGCATGCCAAGCAGAGGCTCTGCCACTGAGCCACAGCCCCTCTCCGCAGCTCTCCAGGGTCTCAGGCTGAGTTTTCTCACATCACCTCCTGCCTGGTCCTTTTAACTGGAGATGCTGGGGACTGAACCTGGGACCTTCTGCATTCCAAGCAGTGGCTCTACCACTAAGCCACTGTGGTCTTCCACATCACCTCCTGCCCGGTTCTTTCAACTGGAGATGCTGGGGATTGAACCTGGGACATTCTGCATCGAAGCAGAGGCTCTTCCACTGAGTCACAGCCTTTCACCTTCAACAGAAGGTGAATGGGATCCTGAGCGGGCAAAGCCGGCGCCGAGACAGACACTCGTCTACGCTGAAAGGCATTTTTAAAAAAACAAACCGGATAAAACCAGCCAGAGCCGTTTCAACCAATCCATAGCTCTCGCCCATGGTGGAGAAGCGAAGTTGGTGTGCGCCATCTCCAGAAGATGTACGTGCGGAGCAAGTGCCGCACAATGAACAGGAGGCGTCTTCGCAGACGGACTCCCCCAGGGAGGCTAACGCCTCCGTCCGCGTGAAGGACTCTTTCACCTTCACGACTTGATGGCATCACACCAGAGGCCACGCGCCAAAAGAGGACAGAAGGAAGACTTTTTTTTGGGGGGGTGATAATTGCTTTCCTGCCAGCCAGCTGGGAGACGGGCCAGGGCACTTAGTTCGCACCACGACTGTGGCAGAAGCTGCCGCATCTGTGCTTTTGAGTCATGCACCATGCGCATTTTCTCCATGCGCGGGGGGCCCAAAGATGTATAGTGAGTCACGCCCGGCCTCTGCCCTGGGTGACGAAACAGGGAGGCAAGGGATCCCCCATTGGTAGATGCCAAAACGGGTCGGGCATCTTGGCCACATGCCAAGGAACACCCTTTAGGCACACGCCGAGGGTTTGGCCCATGCTCTAGGGTAACAAAACTGTGCACGGGATAGAGAAGGTAGAGAAAGAAGGAACTCGTGGGCACGCCATGAAATTGCTCAGCAGTCGGGTTAGAATGGATATAACAAAGTCCTTCTTCACCCAAAGAGTGATTAAGACATGGAATTCACTGCCACAGGAGGTGGCGGCGGCTACAAGCATGGACGGCGTCAAGAGGGAATTACACAGGCATATGGAGCAGAAGTCCATCAGTGGCTATGAGCCACAAGGTAGAGATAGGAAGACTTGGTCTGGGGCAAGGGATGCTCTATATTCTTGGTGCTGGGGGGGGAGGAGGAGGCAACAGTGGGAGGGCTTCTGGTGTCCTGGCCCCACTGCTGGACCTCCTGAGGGCACCTGGTATTTCTGGCCTTTGTGTGACACAGAGTGTTGGACTGGATGGGCCATTGGCCTGATCCAACATGGGCTTCTCTTATGTTCTTATGTTCTTAAGGTATAGATAGGAACTCTCAGTCTGGGGCAAGTGATGCTCTGTATTCTTGGTCCTTGTGGGGGGCCACAGTGGGAAGGCTTCTAGTGTCCTGGCCCTACTGCTGGACCTCCTGAGGGCACCTGGTATTTTTGGCCAGTGTGTGACACAGAGTGTTGGACTGGATGGGCCACTGGCCTGATCCAGCATGGCTTCTCTCTAATATCTGGGGCAGTGATGCTCTGTGTTCTTGGTGCTTGGGGGGGGGGCACGGTGGAAGAGCTTCGGGAGTTCTGCCCTGCTGCTGGACGTCTGGCCCTGGGATGGAACCTGGGACTTTCTGTCTGCCAAGCAGATGCTCTGCCACTGAGCTATGGCCCCTCTCCACGGACCTCCAGGGTTTCAGGCGGAGGTCTCTCACATCACCTCCTGCCTGGTCCTTTGAACTGGAGATGCCGGGGATTGAACCTGGGACCTTCTGCATGCCAAGCAGAGGCTCTAGCACTGAGATATGGCCCCTTTACATGGCTCTCCAGGGTCTCACAGAGGTCTCTCCCATCACCTCCTGCCTGATCCTTTTAACTGGAGATGCCGGAAACTGAACCTGGGACCTTCTGTATGCCAAGCAGAGGCTCTTCCACTGAGCCACGAGCCTCCTCCCCAAAGATGGGCTACAACAAAAACATAGTACGGCGTGACATACCTGGACATGGTTTCTGCAGACAGGTCTTCCGGATTCCTAACTTTCGTCTCGCCTGCAAAAGGAAAAAATATATATATCGAGAACTAAAAAACCTCAAGCAGGGTGGGGTGGGAATCAGTTGCCGCAGGAAAGTTTGGGAGTTCCCCCACCCCCCGAACGCAGGACTTACCATGTCCCCTCAGATCCAGGGCCACGATCCGGCACTGAATCCGGTTAATGATGGCAGCCTGCAAGAAGGGAACAGTTGGTGAAAAGAAGAAGAAGAAGAGGAAGAGGAAGACACCCTGGGAGGTCGGTGGGGCTGAGAGAGCTCTGACAAACTGCTCTTTTTCAAGGACAGCTGTTATCAGAACGATGGCTTGCCCAAGGTCATCCAGCAGGTGCAAGTGGAGGAGTGGGGAATCAAACCCCGTTCCCCCAGATTAGAGTTCACGCACTTAACCACTACACCAAACTGGCCAGTACGGTGTAGTGGTTAAGAGTGCCGGACTAATATCTGGAAGACGCAGCAGGTTCAAATCCCTGCTCGTGCCATGGAAGCCCGCTGGGTGACCTTGGGCCAGTCACGCACTTTCAGCCTAACAGACCTCTCCCTCTCCCAAAATACTAGAACTGGAGAGCATCCAGTGAAGCGGAGGGGTAGCAGGTTCAGAATAGACAAAGGGAAATACTACTTTACACAGAGAGGGATTCAAATGTGGAAATAGCTGCCAGCGGATGCAGTGATGGCCACAGGGATCGACAGCTTTAAAAGGGGATTCGGTAGACTCATGGACGATAAGCCTGCCAGTGGCCACGAGCCATGGTGACTGAGGGGAACCTCCATGTTCGGTAGCAGGGAATCCCAGAGCCAGGAGGGAGCATGAGGGGAAGGCCTCGGCCTCTCTGCCCTGTTGCTCGCCCTCCTGAGGAACTGGCTGGCCCCTGTGTGAGACGGGAGGCTGGACTAGATGGACCCTCCCTGGTCAGATCCAGCAGGGCTCTTCTGAGGTTCTTATAAGAAGAAGAGATTGGATTCATACCCCACCCTTCACTACCCGAAGGAGTCTCAGAGCGGCTCACAATTTCCTTTCCCTTCCCCTCCCCACAACAGACACCCTGGGAGGTAGGTGAGGCTGAGAGAGCTCTGAGAGAATCGGCTCTTTTTCAAGAACAGCTGTGCCAAAACTATGGCTTGCCCAAGGTCATCCTGCAGCTGCAAGTGGAGGAGTGGGGAATCAAACCCGGTTCTCCCAGATTAGAGTCTGCACACTTAACCACTGCACCAAACTGGGGAAGGCCTTGGTCTCTCTGCCCTGTTGCTGGCCCTCCAGAGGAACTGGCTGGCCCCTGTGTGAGACGGGATGCTGGACTAGGTGGACCCTCCCTGGTCTGACCCAGCAGGGCTCTTCTGAGGTTCTTCTCAGGGGAAGGCCTTGGCCTCTCTGCCCTGTTGCTGGCCCTCCAGAGGAACTGGCTGGCCCCTGTGTGAGGCAGGAGGCTGGACTCGATGGACCCTCCCTGGTCTGATCCATCAGGGCTCTTCTGAGGTTCTTACCTCACAGGGCTGTTGTGAGGATCCAATGGAGGAGAGGAGAACAATGTGAGATGCTCTGGGTCCCTACTGACTGGGGGAAAACACGGGGCACCGATGACTTAAAGAAACACATAAGAACAACCCTGCTGTCCTCTTGGGCTCCTTCCAGCGCTCTCCTCCGGCACAAGGGGACGCACTAACCCTCGTGCCAGCTTTGGAGGAGGGCCTTTTGCGCCCGAAGGGGGGAAGGGGAAAGTTGGCTAGATCTGGGGGTGGGTGGGTTGCCTTTTGACCCACACTGGCAGATTCAGACAAAGAGCAGGCAGGTTGGCACGGAGTCCGAGGCGGCCGTGCGGAATACCAATGCCGCAGCAGGAGGGCAAAGGGGCGGCGGCTCTGGGAACGGGCAGCGTTCTTCTCCGACCCCCGGCCTGAAAGGACAGAAGGGGGAGTTGTCCAGAGGCCAGGGCGCTCACTTCTTAAAGGAGAAATCCAAGACGGGCCGCCGTGTCAGCCTGTCTGCTGCACTAGAAAAGAGCAAGAGTCCAGGAGCACCGTAAAGACTAACCAAATGAGCGTTTGCAGATCGCTCCTCAGGGGGAAGGCCTCGGCCTCTCTGCTCTGTTGCTGGCCCATCGCATACCGGATTCGGTTCCAGGTGCTGGTGTCGTGGTTAAGTGCGCAGACTCTAATCGGGGAGAACCGGGTTTGATTCCCCACTCCTCCACTTGCACCTGGCTGGATGACCTTGGGCAAGCCGTAGTTCTGATAAGAGCTGTCCTTGAAAAAGAGCAGTTTCTGTCAAGAGCTCTCTCAGCCCCACCTCCCTCACAGGGGGGTCTGTTGTGGGGAGGGGAAGGGAAAGGAGTTTGTGAGCCGCTCTGAGACTGCTTCGGGTAGTGAAGGTAGGGGTATAAATCCAATCTCCTCCTCCTCCTCCAGTTTGTTGTAGTGGTTAAGAGCAGTGGACTCTAATCTGGGAGAACCGGGTTTGATTCCGCACTCCTCCACTTCCGCCAGCTGGATGACCTTGGGTCAGTCACAAGTTCTCTCAGAGCTGTCCTTGAAAATGAGCACTTTCTGTCAAGAGCTCTCTCAGCTCCACCTGCCTCACAGGGTGTCTGTTGTGGGGAGGGGAAGGGAAAGGAGATTGTAAGCCGCTCTGAGACACCTTTGGGTAGTGAAGGGCAGGGCAGAAATCCAATCTCCTCTTCTTCTTTTACCTCACAGGGTGTCTGTTGTGGGGAGGGGAAGGGAAAGGAGTTTGTAAGCCGCTCTGAGACTCCTTCGGGTAGTGGAGGGCGGGGTATAAATCTAATCGCTTCTTCTTCTACTTTTGCATAATTTATTCTGCAATGTTTTGTAAGTTTCAATATTATAGTTAGAAACCGCCCGGTTTTTGCGTCATTGGACCACGGAACAGCCGCACGGAAACCGGTGATTTATTTGTTTGAGGGCCGCACGTGTCGCTGAGTCCTCTTTGAAAAATCACACGTCCCTAAATTTAGCCTCATATTCTCAGTAGGCAGGAAGATGCGGTAGTCACTTACCCGCTGCTCTGGATCAGCTCTTTCTGAAGAGGGGAGGGGGCCGTGGCTCAGTGGCAGAGCCTCTGCTTGGCATGCAGAAGGTCCCAGGTTCAATCCCCAGCATCTCCAACTAAAAGAGCCAGGCAGAAGGTGATGTGAAAGACCTCTGCCTGAGACCCTGGAGAGCCATGGAGACGGGCCGTGGCTCAGTGGCAGAGCCTCTGCTTGGCATGCAGAAGGTCCCAGGTTCAATCCCCAGCATCTCCAGCTAAAAGAGCCAGGCAGGAGGTGATGTGAAAGACCTCTGCCTGAGACCCTGGAGAGCTGTAAAGAGGGGCCGTGGCTCAGTGGCAGAGCCTCTGCTTGGCATGCAGAAGGTCCCAGGTTCAATCCCCAGCATCTCCACCTAAAAGAACCAGGCAGCAGGTGATGTGAAAGACCTCTGCCTGAGACCCTGGAGAGCTGTAAAGAGGGGCCGTGGCTCAGTGGCAGAGCCTCTGCTCGGCATGCAGAAGGTCCCAGGTTCAATCCCCGGCATCTCCAGTTAAAAGAACCAGGCAGCAGGTGATGTGAAAGACCTCTGCCTGAGACCCTGGAGAGCCATGGAGACAGGCTGTAGCTGAGCAGCTGAGCCTCTGCTTGGCATGCAGAAGGTCCCAGGTTCAATCCCCGGCATCTCCAGTTAAAAGAACCAGGCAGCAGGTGATGTGAAAGACCTCTGCCTGAAACCTTGGAGAGCTGTAGGGAGGGGCCGTGGCTCAGTGGCTGAGCCTCTGCTCGGCATGCAGAAGGTCCCAGGTTCAATCCCTGGCATCTCCAGTTAAAGGTAGGGGATGTGAAAGACCTCTGCTTGAGACCCTGGCGAGCCACTGCCAGTCTGAGTAGACAATACTGTCCTTGATGGACTGAGGGTCTGATTCAGGATAAGGCAGCTCCATGTGTCTTTTCTATGTGTATAACCCCAACGATGCTTTCACAATACCGCCCACCCCACCCCACCCCGCATGCAGACACCTCCAAAGAGCTACCGAATGAGGACATTTTCGCAACGGGGACACCCAGCCGAAAATAAATCCGGGCTCGGGGATCTGCGCCCGCCACCTAACGCTTTTGATGCAAATGTGTTTATTTTTGGCACTCCGGTGATTAAGTGGCATTCTACTACACTGAAAGGCTTTTTTCTTCTTTTTTTTAAAGGAGGCCTCGTGTTCCAGAAAAATCAATCGGGTGGCAAAAACGCACGCATACAAAAACCTCAGACGGCTGCCTACGGAGGGGCCCTGAACACATTAGCAGTGCAGTTTTTTTTTAAAAAAAAAATGTCTACACAGAACAGCCTTTCTGACAGTCCAAATGAGGCTGTAGAAGCAACTGCAGGTTTTTTAAAAAAATCTTTGAAGTGCTGAAGCGTGAAGCAACAGTAGAAGAGGAGGAGGAGGAGGAGACTGGATTTATATCCCGCCCTTCACTACCCAAGGGAGTCTCAGAGCGGCTTACAAACTCCTTTCCCTCCCCCTCCCCACAACAGACACCCTGTGAGGTAAAAGAAGAAGAAGAAGAGATTGGATTTATACCCCGCCCTTCACTACCCAAGGGAGTCTCAGAGTGGCTTACAAACTCCTTTCCCTTCCCCTCCCCACAACAGACACCCTGTGAGGTAGAAGAAGAAGAAGAGATTGGATTTATACCCCGCCCTTCACTACCCAAAGGTGTCTCAAGAGGGGCTCACAAACTCCTTTCCCTTCCCCTCCCCACAACAGACACCCTGTGAGGTAAAAGAAGAAGAAGGAGAGACTGGATTTATACCCCGCCCTTCACTACCCAAAGGTGTCTCAGAGCGGCTCACAAACTCCTTTCCCTTCCCCTCCCCACAACAGACACCCTGTGAGGTAAAAGAAGAAGAGATTGGATTTCTACCCCGCCCTTCACTCCCCAAAGGAGTCTCAGAGCGGCTTACAAACTCCTTTCCCTTCCCCTCCCCACAACAGACACCCTGTGAGGTAAAAGAAGAAGAAGAGACTGGATATATACCCCGCCCTTCACTACCCAAAGGGGTCTCAGAGCGGCTTACAAACGCCTTTCCCTTCCCCTCCCCACAACAGACAACCTGTGAGGTAAAAGAAGAAGAGATTGGATTTCTACCCCTCCCTTCACTCCCCAAGAGTCTCAGAACCGCTTACAAACTCCTTTCCCTTCCCCTCCCCACAACAGACACCCTGTGAGGTAAAAGAAGAAGAAGAAGAGACTGGATTTATACCCCGCCCTTCACTACCCAAGGGAGTCTCAGAGTGGCTTACAAACTCCTTTCCCTTCCCCTCCCCACAACAGACACCCTGTGAGGTAAAAGAAGAAGAAGAGACTGGATATATACCCCGCCCTTCACTACCCAAAGGGGTCTCAGAGCGGCTTACAAACGCCTTTCCCTTCCCCTCCCCACAACAGACAACCTGTGAGGTAAAAGAAGAAGAGATTGGATTTCTACCCCTCCCTTCACTCCCCAAGAGTCTCAGAACCGCTTACAAACTCCTTTCCCTTCCCCTCCCCACAACAGACACCCTGTGAGGGAGGCGGGGCTGAGAGAGCTCTGACAGAAAGTGCTCTTTTTCAAGAACAGCTATGCCAGAACTATGGCTTGCTAAAGGTCATCCAGCAGGTTCAAGAAGAAGAAGACAACGACGAGGAGGAGACTGGATTTATTCTCCGCCCTTCACTACCCAAAGGAGTCTCAGAGCGGCTTACAAACGCCTTTCCCTTCCCCTCCCCACAACAGACACCCTGTGAGGGAGGCGGGGCTGAGAGAGCTCTGACAGAAAGTGCTCTTTTTCAAGAACAGCTATGCCAGAACTATGGCTTGCTAAAGGTCATCCAGCAGGTTCAAGAAGAAGAAGACAACGACGAGGAGGAGACTGGATTTATACTCCGCCCTTCACTACCCAAGGGAGTCTCAGAGCGGTTTACAGACTCCTTTCCCTTCCCCTCCCCACAACAGACACCCTGTGAGGCCGGTGGGGCTGAGAGAGCTCTTTCGAGAACTGACTTTTCAAGGACAACTCTTGTCAGGCTTGCCCAAGGTCACCCAGCAGGTGCAAGTGGAGGAGTAGGGAATCAAACCCGCTTCTACCAGATTAGAATCCACTCACTTTGGAGAAACGGTACCGTTTGGCAAGGAAGCGCTGAGACTACAGGCCCAATCGGGTGCGTTTTTTAAAAGGCCATGAAGACCGGAGGAACTGGATCCGCGGAATCTGCACAAATCCAGTAAAAAACGGAGTCTGAACTGACAGAACGAGGGACAAAACGCTGAAAATACGTGAGTCGTCCAATGAGGAGTCGGTCTGCCGGCTCGGCACCGACTTAATTCTCTTGCCTAGGCAGCCCAGACATAGAAGCGTAGAGTTGGAAGGGGCCATAGAGGGCATCTAGTCCAGCCCCCAGCTGGATGCAGGATCAGCCTAGAGCCGGGGGGGGGGGCAAACCGTGGCTCAGGAGCCACATGCGGCTCTTTCGAACATATTGTGTGCAATGCTCCCTCTCAGCTACGGAGTCCCGTGAGCAAAAATTCTCCTTAACGTAATGAGTGTCTCGGTGACTGCCGTGGCTGTTTTTCCACGGAGAACTTTGCGACCCGGCGTCTCTCGGGATCTACTCACCGTGAACACGGCCCAGGAAAGAGCGGAATGGCCGCCACCGTGCAGCAGGAGCAGGACTGGTCCTTCGGAGCCGCTCTTGTAAATTCGAAAAGTGTACGGACAGTTAAGAAGATTGTCACACAAACGGGGGCGCCCCAGGTCTCCCGGTTAAAGCACTCTCCACAATGAACTTGGGCAGCGATAGTTTATTGAGATCTGCTTACTTCAGGAAACGGGCTCTGTGTCAGAACCGGAAGGAAGGCCCGCAAAAGCCCCTGTCACAGATAATACAAAGTACACCCCACACCTCTCCCGTAGGCCATCATTCAGCCTCTACAATCGCTATGGCAACCCTGACAGATAGACGGCGCCTCATCTATACACTCTGGCCTGGCGGTAAGGAGTCCAAGGCCAGCTCCCTTGGGAACCAGCTCATGGGGGCATAACCTTGAGGAAAGTTATGGCGGCTACAAGCAGGCACTCAAAACACCCACCCACTCCCCTCCTCAGGGAATCCCTCCCCCAAGTAAAGTGGATGCTCCTGAAGCAACAACAGAAAGCGGAAGATGGACCTGAGAAAGTGGAGGAGAACAAAGACGCAGAAGAAGAAGGAGAAGAGGAGGAGAAGGAGGAAAAGAGGGGAGGAAGAAAAGAGGGGAGGAAGAAATGAGGGGAGGAGGAGAGGAGGAAGAAGAGGAAGAAGAAGAGGAGGAAGAAGAAGAGGAGGAGGAAGGGGAAGAGAGGAGGAAGAGGAAGAAGAAGAGGAGGAGGAGGAGGAAAAAGAGGAGGAAGAAGAGGAAGAGGAGGAGGAAGAGGAGGAGGGCATTATACAGTCAGGGCACCATCAC